GCGGCAGCCGCAGGTGGGGGTCCGCCCGGGCCTGACCGCACCCGCCCGCCGCCCTCCTCGCTCTCGGGGCGCGCGGCGAGGGGCCCTGCCGGCGAGGTGGAGCCGCGGGCACCAGCCGCGCTCTCCCCCTCCCTGCGCCCTCCCCTCCCCCGCCTCCTCCCCGCCGGTCCCGTCTCCAGCGGGAGCGCGAGACGCTGGTCAGGCTCCGGCGCAGCTCGAAAATGCATCCTCGCCCCCGGCGGACCTAGACGCCGCCGCCGCCGGCTTCCGCGCGCGGGGTCGCGTGCGTCCTCCATCCTGCCTCCGAAAAGCGAATCAAAACACAAAGCCAGCCAGCCAACCAAGACTCCGGTTTGTTGATCGCCTTATTTTTTTTTTTTTTTTTCACCGCTTGCGGGATTCGCAAACCGCGTTACATGCATGTCCAGTGGGGGCAGGTTTAATTTTGACGATGGAGGGTCCTACTGCGGAGGCTGGGAGGACGGCAAGGCGCACGGCCATGGCGTCTGCACCGGCCCGAAGGGCCAGGGCGAATACACCGGCTCGTGGAGCCACGGCTTCGAGGTGCTGGGCGTCTACACCTGGCCCAGCGGCAACACGTACCAAGGCACTTGGGCGCAGGGCAAGCGCCACGGCATCGGCCTGGAGAGCAAGGGGAAGTGGGTGTACAAGGGCGAGTGGACGCACGGATTTAAGGGGCGCTATGGGGTGCGGGAGTGCACGGGCAACGGGGCGAAATACGAAGGGACCTGGAGCAACGGACTGCAGGACGGCTACGGCACGGAGACCTACTCGGATGGAGGTAGGTGCGGGCGGGGGCTGGGCGCGGGGGGGGCAGTCCCCATCTCTCCCTTCTCTGTATCTCTGGGCAACTTGAGCCTCGCCCTCCACTTGGGCTATGGGCACCCGGAGCATCTCCTGGCTTCCCAGGAGGCCTCAGCGGGCCGCTTGGCCACAGGTTGCCCCACGCCTGATGGGGACAGTGGCACATGCCAACCCAGGGGTAGGGGCTCTCCGCGCCAGGCCCCTGCTGCAGCTTGCTGAGCCCCAGTTTCAGCGCATCTTTAGGACCAGGCCGGAGAGAGTTGCACCTGCTGGAAGGCCAGATTGGCCACTCCTGGCCCCCTCCCCTGCCGAGGTCCAGAGGGGTCTGGAGATAGACCCTTTCCCTCCCTTGCTGTTACCCCTCTCCTGTCCCCAGAGTCAAGGCCCCAGCCTGGCTTCTTGTTTTCCTGCGGTACCCAGGGCCTCACTCAGTCCTGAAAGCCGCTCAGGCCAATGGAGAGGGAGCTCTGGAGCGCTAGAGGCGGAGGACGCCGACCAAACCAAAACAGCAAGGCAATAAACTTCTAGGTGGTTGGACACAGGCTGGCTGTCGAAGCAGGCTGCTGGAGGGAGGGAGGGAGGGAGGGGAGGGAGGAGGAGGCCCATCTGTTTAGCGGGAGCCCAGGAATCTCGCCTTTCAGTGGCTGAATCATTTTCTCCGTTAGTTTAGGGACTCGCTCTGCACCTCCGTTCTGAGATACCACCACAGCCGGGCAGAGCTGCTGCTCGAAGCCAGACAACTGCCTGTGTGTTGGGTTTCTGTGCAGGAAGCCCTGGGTGGCTTGGTGGCCACCCCCTTTGCCTGCTTCTTAGCGCTGCTGCTGAGTAGCATGAACAGTTATGCGTCTTGGAAGCCAGACCTTGCCCTGAGGCCCCCTACACCTCCAGGCAGCTCATCCCTGGAGGCTGCTCCCGTCTCCTCTGGGCCTGGGAGGCTGGAGGTTTTCAGGGAGGATGCCTGGGAAGGGAGTGAGACGCAGCGATGACTTGGGGTTCTGCCGGGCAATGGAGCATCTATGTGTGTTCTCAGCCTGAAGCCAGCACCTGCTGGGGGCCACATCCAAGAGTGATGAGGGCTGGAAAGTAATTATTATTTTGGCTTATGCAACTGAAAGGCAGGGTTCGTTATTACCCAAAGAGGAGGCGGAGTCTGGGCAGTTAATTATATAATGCTCTGCCTTGCCCAGCCCTGGTCCCGGGCGGCCTTTTCTGTACTGTTGTTTTCCTGGAGCAGGCTGGAGAGCTTCTCTGACCTGGGGCACCCTGGGGCATGGGCCTGGACTCCAGGCATGGGCCTGTGTGTGTGTGTGTGTGTGTGTGTGTGTGTGTGTGTGCACTCCCACATGCAGTCACGGTGAGGTCCTGGCAGCAGGTGTGGGTAGCCAAGGTGGGTGGGTGAACAGCCTGGTTCATCTAGCTGGGCTTTCTTTTGGGGAGCCCAGGGCAGTTGTCCCTGTCACACAGGACTCTGGGTAGACTGCGCTCAGAATCGCTTTCCAGAGTGGCTCCCAGACCTGCTTGTAGCAGGAAAGGCATCTTACTACTCTATGCAGACTGGACCCACAGGGAGGAGGGAGTCCTAGAGCATTTGTGAGTGGGGCCTGCACCCAGGCCTGCCCACCTCAGACATCTGTCTCCATCAGCCTTTGGAGTGCTTTCCTACAGTCAACAAATGTTTATTGAGCACTTACTATGGCCAGATAGCCTAGGCTTTGTGAACCCAGAAGAAGCAGACATGAGCTGCCTGGAATGTTCTCTTAGGGAGAGAGGTGATGATTCTCCAGGGAAAGTGGGGAGCCAGCACTTAGGCTGCTAGGAGCCTGTGGGACCCCCCTGTGACTTTACCTACTGCTCCCCAAGCCTTGGCCTCCAACAGCACCCCCCCACCTGCCCTACCCCACCCCCACGCATGTCCTGCCCTATCTAATCCATTTTTCAGTTGAAGTCAATGGGGCCAGGGGGCTGTGTGTGCAGGCATGAGGGCCTGGCCTTGGGGCAGAGCCCCCATGTGTCTGTGTCCTGAACCCCTTGTTCCTCCTACCCTTCCTTGTCTGGAGAACCCCTTGTCCTGGTTCTCTCAAGGGGATTGTGGTTCTCAGAGTTCTTCCTGGAGTGTGGGGCACAGAGGCGGGTATGTGGGTCTGGGCTTCCGGGCTGGCAGTCGACACAGCGTGTTGGACTGGAGCTGGCCTTTCTGGCCCTGGGCAGTCCAGCACAGGTGTCCATGTCTCCTTCTCTGAACATGACCGTCTTCTCATTAGGAAGGGGTGACTTGAGAACTTGGGCCCCTGGGAAAGTCTGTGAACCTTGGTGGGGTGTGGCCACCTGCAGGAGTAGGTCGGGGCAGGGCGTGGGTACTGTGTCCCCTCACCTGGTGGGCATGGTTGTGTCCTGTGATGAGGGTGACTGTGATCCTCTTGAGTGAGTGGTTTTAGTTACAGTCAAGCTTTGCCTACATAGGTGGGAACTGGGGCATCAGTACAGCTCCCCAACTTTTGCCCAGCGTCCAGTGCTGACTTGGGGAAACAGCGGTTGCCATGAATAAACCATGAACAGAAAATGTACTCCGCATTCAGCTGGAATTGGTATGGAATCTGTTTCGACTGGGGACACTTGTGCCAAGTCCTCCTCCAGCTCTCCCTCCCCCGGGCACAGGCAGGCATTGCTCCTGATGTGAGCCCAGTGATCAGCTCTTGAAGTCTGTACTGAGGGTCTGGGACGGGGTCGGGGAGTACAGGAGCATAAGCTGTTGGGCGTTGACTACCTGGCCTTGCTGGGCTCTGCTTCGTCACTTTGGACGAGCGACTTAACCTCTCTGAATTTCTATCTGTTCGCCTTCGCAGAAGGATAATACAGTGGAGTGGGTGAAAATGAACTAAGTGTGGAGTCCCAGGCTCTGCCAGGAATGGAGTGGGCATTTTTATCATTATTTTTATTTTTACAGTTCACATGGAGTGAATGTCACTATAATAACTACTGTGGAGCCAACAGGCAGGGCTGTGGTGACCGTGCAGATGACAGGTGATATGAGACACTGTGTGCAAGCCTCTTACATCTTTAGGGTGCCTTCTCTCTCTTTAGTCACGAGTCACACACTGCGCGGCCTAGCCTTCCAGTCCAGAAGCCTTGGGTGGAGCTAGGCGCAGGCTGCTGACTCTGGGTTGGCTCTTGCCCACTTTGCCTCCCTGTAAACTCCCTCTGTAAACTGCCTGCTGTCTTCTCTCCTTCCACATCCACTGTCGCCACCCTGGGTGCAGTACGGTACAGGCAGTGCCTGTCGTAGCAGCCCCACTGCCATCTCACTGGGTGCCCCGTCCCCAGACCTCAGAGCTTTCCTTCAGGTAAACATGAACCAAAAAGCCACCCCCCTATAAACCCTCCCACACCCTGAGAGATGAGTCATCGCGTGCCCCGGCCTCCCCCCTCCCCATACGAGGCAGGTCCCGTTCACCGGCCCAGATTCTGCAGCCTACACACATCACACACACCCACAGTCAGAACTCAGATCCACCCAGGCGCCTGCGTGCACACAGGCGCACAATACACCTGCCACCCTCGGCTCTTCCACCCCGTCCCCCCGAAGCAGCCACGTGTACCTCTTGGCTTTGTTTGCGCCCCCCCAGCACTAAGGGCTGGGGGTCCCTGCCACCCTGTAAATACGGAGTTAGGAGAGACAGCGGTGCAGCCGTTTCCACTTTAAACACATCTGCTGTTACTACCCCTTGTGAGGGGTAAAAGTGTCACCAGACAACACACACTGTTTCTTTCCTTAGTTAGTACCGGGGTCAAAGCCGGGACCTCACCTTTCGGCAGCATCCTACCACTGAGCTACATCGCCAGCCCTTTTCCTCTCTATTTTGGTCGGGTCTTGCCAAGTTGGCCAGGCTGGCCTTGGGCTGGTGATCTTCCCGTCTCAGCCTCTTGAGAGCGGGGATTCTATCATGTGTCGCCGTGTCCAGCTACTTAAACTGTTTTACGTGCTTCACCAGGACAGTGAAGAAAGTCCAGGGGCCTGGGCTAAGGGGACACAACCCATCAGCCCATCCGCACGGGTCCACCAGTGGAAACTCAGTTCAGAAACTTTGGAGATAAAGGTGTCTTTCAGAGTGTCTTCGAGGAACCTGGGGAGGGGGAGGTTGTGAGGCTCCTCCATAAGGTGAAAGAAGGCAAAAGCTAATGACTAGTTCTCTGTTGCCAATTATAGCTGAGAAACAGAGTTGGTGAGAAGCATTCCCTCCCCCACCTCGGCCCCAGCTGAGGCCTGGTCTGAGCCGTGAGGCTCGCAGCGTCTGAGAACAACACCCCGGAACCCCTAGCGTGGAGTTCTGCGTGTTAATGTCACTGAGCTGGGGTAGGGAGCTCGGCCCCGCCCTCTCTGGGCTGGAGAGACGACTGGGAGATGGTGCTGATATTGGGTGTCAGGGGTGCCACAGTGGGGATCTCTCTGCTTCCTTCAAGACTTATTTTTCCCTCAGCCTCCCTGGATCGCCACGACTCTAAGTCACTGTCCGTGTGTCCGTGTGTTTGCGCATGTTCGCCACCTCAGTCTCTCCATGCTGGCCGTTCCCTCAGCTACTATACACATAGCACTATGCTGGGTCCTGGGGGTCTCGTCCTTGGTTTTGGTTATTCTTTTTAGACGGGGTCTTACTGTGTAGCCCTGGCCAGCCTAGTACTCACTCTGTAGCCCAAGCTGGCCTTGAACTCTCTATGTAGCTGAGCATGACCTTTAACGTCTTATACTCTGGCCTCTACCTCCAGAGTGCTGGGATTACAGGTGTGTGTCACCACGCCCAGTTTATGTGCTGCTGAGAATCGAACCCAGGGTTTCCTGCATGCTAGGCAAGTACTTACCAACTGAGCTACATCCCCAGTCCTGAAGTCATAGTTTTAAAAATATTTATTTGTTGTGTCTGGCTCCTGGTGTGCCACGGAGGACAACTTGTGGAGTCGGTCCTTGCCTTGTACCATGTGAGT